AAGTAGTGCTACCCATTGAAGTAGAGATTCCGTCACTCCGGGTCTTGACAGAAGTCAAACTGGATGATGCAGAATGGGTACAATCCAGATATGATCAGCTTAATTTGATAGATAAAAGAGACTGAAAGCCATTCATCATGGTCAAATCTATAAAAAAAACGAATGATTCGAGTACATGACAAAATGGTGCGCTCGAGAATATTTCGTGAAGGAGATTTGATGCTAAAAAGAATTTGGCCAGTCTAGAAAGATTTCTGAGGAAAATGGACGCCAAATTGGGAGGGACCTTATGTCGTAAAAAAGGCATTCTCCGGAGGAGCCCTTGTCCTGGCTGAAATGGACGGACCTGAACTGCCACATCCCATCAACTCGGATGCAACCAAGAAATACTTCGCTTAGGATGAAAACCCGAGAAGGTATCCTAAGTTGAAAAAAAAGAAAAAACAAAAAAAGAGAAAAACGTTTAGGGTGAAAACCCGAAAGGGCACCCTAAATTGAAAAAAAGAAAAGAAAAACAAAAAACAAAAAAAGAGAAAAATGTTTAGGGTGAAAACCCGAAAAGACGCCCTAAATTGAAAAAAGAGAAAAAGAACCAAAGAAAAAGAAAAACAAGGTGGGTTTAAGATGAAAACCCGCAAAGGGTGTCTTGCAACCAAGGATGGGTCCAAGTTGAAAACCCGAAAGGGCAATTTGGATATTGACTCAAGAAATCCATACAATGGAAACATCCCGACATCTGAATCTTCTACAAGACTTAACGAGTTGGAGAAATGTTGCACTCTCCTGAACGTTGTCGCATTTTCAAATATCCTTTGGCAAAGACTGCATTCAAGGTCACCAAATGGCTTTTTAGCTCAGAAGTGCCCACATTAACGAGATCTAAGACATTCATTTACACCTTATCATGTATTCATTTTCCAGAATGTTTGTCATGTATTATTTGTTCTTTTTTTCCCATAAATAAAAGACAACTTTTTCTCTAAACCAATTCTTTTTGAGCATCTTGGATTGAGCTTAAACTTAATGATTTATTTACTTATGCAAAAGATAATCGTATATTACTGTACAAAGATTCATTGAAAAGTACAGGTACCCGGAAGCCGATCAAGGCTCATGCATATAATTGAGATGGTCGAGAGGTATTTCCCAGATCAAGGATAAAAAAAGAAAAATATGCACGTCAGATTTCATCATTTGAAGAATTCAATACCAGGGATCGGAACTTCAAGATTCCATAATCAAGATTCCAGACAGGCAACCGGAGATCGATATTTCTCTTAAGAGCCCCAAGATAACATATATTGCATATGCATTTTAGGCACACTTAAGAGCATTGCATTCATAGCATCACATATATGCATAACTTTTTCAGGTTTTAGCTAGAGTCAATTTCAACTTCGCAGCGAAGGATATTGAACTCGAAGCAACACAATTTGCTTGAGAGTAGATTTTAACTTTACGACGGAGGATATCTAACTCGAAGCCAAACTTCACAATAAAGGGGTCATCCACGGTTTCAACTTCACGGCGAAGGGAATCATGTCCACCTACAACATAAGATACTTGGATTTCAACTTCACGACGAAGGATATTCAAGTCAAGGCTCAACTTCACAACGAAAGGGCCATCCACGATTTCAACTCCACGACGGAGGATATCGTACCGACACATCCATGATTTCAACTCCACATGGAGGATGTCGTGCCATTCGGGCTCAATTTCACGACGAATGGCCTTCCCAATTTCAGAGCCAATTTCAACTTCACAGCGAAGGATATTGGACCCAAGACAACACAAGCTCAACTTCACGACAAAGGGGCGGCTGATTGTCAACAAATAATTTCCTAGTTCCAGAGCCAATTTTAACTTCACGGTGGAGGATATTGGACTCGAAGCAATACAACTTACTTGGATTTTAACTTCATGACGAAGGATATCCAATTCCAGGCTCAACTTCATGACGAAGGGGCCACCCGAGGTTTCAACTTCACGACGAAGGGAATCGTGCACACAAGCAGCATCCATCCCCAGATTGGATTTCAACTTCACGACAAATGATATCCAACTCAAAGAATGAGTGTTTTCCAATAAACTCTCTAGTTTCAGAGTCAATTTTAACTTCACGACGAAGGATATTGGCCTCGAAACAAAGCAACCTACATTGGATTTTAACTTCACGACGAAGGATATCCAATCCCCCGGCTCAACTTCATGACGAAGGGGCCATATACAATTCCAACTTCACAACGAAAGGCATTGTACCTCAACAGATTGACCCAACTTCACGACGAATGAGTCATCTGTAGCACAACAATACCAAAGCCTTCGGGTCAAGCTTCAGCTTCACGATGAAGTATCTTGAGCTAGAAGACGGTTCAGAGGCAACTTGCTAAGAGTTTTTGAGTTCGGTTTCAACTTCACGACGAATGATTTTGTGCTCAGAATTTTCCAGTTTCGACTCAACCTCACGACGAGGGAGTCGTCTTATGATTTAAATTGATAAACCAATCTTAATGTCAGATCTCAACTCTACGACAGAGGGGCAACTGAAGACACCAAATTTTATCCTTTAATATATTTACATTATAGATTATTTATTTTATTACATATATATATTATACACATATTTACATATATATTTATTTTACATTATGTTAGGCCCGAAATCAGATCCCACGTGGCCCAACCAAACGTTCTGGCCCAACCCAGACCCAACACACGCAATCCATATCAACTAAGGTCCCCAAACCCTAGCAATTTCTCACCAGCGCCGCATCTCCAAGCTTCACGGGTCTTCACGCCTCTCATGCCCGCAACCAACACGCCTCCAACAGTCCGATTTCTCTGACGAGTCCACGCAAGCCAACAACCAACAACCACATCATTAACATTTTATTTGGAATCAAACTCCTAAAAATAGGATTTATTTTCTACTATAAAACCATGTAATTAGAACACAATCACACACTGGTTTTGATCACAAAACTACGCTAGCAAACAGAGCGATTACAACAGTTGCACAAAATTCAAAAAAATATTGTAACAGCTTTGGAAGCATTGTTCAAAGTGGAAATAAAATAAAGGTATATTTTTGCTTACCTTTTCATTCGTTCGATCCTCTGCATGTCATTTTTATCTCCTTTCGTTGTGTTTTGATTCGAAAGAAAACAAAAAGAAAGCTTTTGGCCGATGAACGGGGCATTTTCGAGATCTGTTTTCTTATATCTAGCCCCGAGGTCGATTTGTTTTAAAGAAATATTATGATTTTTGGAAATAAGATGCAAAAGGCTTTCGGAATTTTTTAAAAAAAATAAAAAGAAATTTTTTTTGCCATCGATGATCGGCGATCGGCGGCGACGAGGTGGCAGAGTCACCGGAATCTAGAAATTTACGGCGGTGTTCATGTGTTCTTCAAGAACACAAGAACAAGTTGAGAGCATTTTGAAATATGGGAGGGGCGTTTTGGCGAGAGAATGAGAGAAATGAGAGATTAAACATTTTTTTGACTTAAATACTCAGCCCGTTGGACCGTCCATAACCCGACCCGTATACCTCAGACCCGCGTGTTTTGCTTTAAAATAGGGTAAACCGCACTTTTGGCCCCCTTTTGTTTTAATTACTTCATTTTAGCCCTGAAATCCCGATTCATCCTCAAAATATTTCAAAATTGGTCACACGATCTTCTGTTTTTACAATTTAGTCGTTTTTCTGGATTTTAATTTTAATTTTTTTTATTTTATATTAATTATAATATTTATATATATTATTATAGTATTATTATTAGTATTTTTAGTTTTCTTTATATTTTATTTTTACATACCTGTATTATTAGTATTTTATTATTTATTTATTTTATTTATATGTTATATTATATATATATATACATTTTATTTTATTGCTTAATATGTTTTTATTTTTATTTATATATTTTATATATATATATATTATTTTACTTCTTAATATTTTTATATTCTACAAGTTAATATACATGTAAATATATTTTCTTTTTTTCTCTTTCCCCTCATTTTTATTTATTATTTATTTATTTTTATTTTTTTTCGTATTTTATTTATCTTATTATATTTTGTCCTTATTTTATTCATTTTGGTTTCACTATCTCCATTTTATTTATGTTGTTTGTTTTTTTTTTATCTGTCGTTATTTACTTATTTTCTCTTCTTTATTTTATTTTCTCTATTTTTAATTTATCTTCATCACCTTTGTTTTTCTAACGCTTTTCTTGGTTCTTTAAGGGTAGGTTTTCAAAACGGTTAAAGGTAAGTAATTTGGATCGTTATTTTACCTTTTGATTTAAATTTATAACTTTCTTAATAAAGACAACTGGAAATTACATAGTACCGAAAGGGCAGTTCAAGGATGTTAACCCTTCTTTGACTGTAACCGACTTCCGAATCCGACATATCACTGTTAAGACGCAAATCAGATAAGAAATAAGGTATCCGATCAGCTCATTTTGTTTAAAATAAATTATTGGTGGCGACTCCTAACCATTTAATTCAAGTCGAAGCTTAATTTCGGTGTCCAACCGAAAGACGGTTCCGACAATGCATTAAATTTTTTTTTCACTATCAACGACGACCATGAACGAAATCGAAGATGGGTCGTTGTCACAAGAACCATATATTGTTAGGAGCTTACCTCAATGAAAACAAATCAACAAAAAATCCAAAATCAGTCGATTAAAAAGAACAAATTCTAAAGTCTCAAACACAAGCAAGGCAGCGCCACCAACACCGGCCGTAACAATCGAACCCTTCATCAACATGCACAAAGACAGCTCAAGTGAGGCACGATACAACATAAACAGAGGGTTGAAGTAGTACCGGTGGCCGAAGGGTGGACGAAAATGAATTGCTGGGTCAGAATGGGTGAGACAGGGTCAATATTTAAGCTTTTGCAGTTGGATTTCAATGGCGGTCGTCAATCGAGGAATGCATGTCGACTTACATTGCTAGCGTGAGAGAGAAATTCGAGAGGCGATGGCTTTGCGAGCTTTGGTCGGAGGCCGGCAACGACAAATCAATGGAGGATATCACGAAATTTCGAGGGGCGATGGATCAGCACAAAATTTCGAGGGCTTTTCAGTTGAAATCGTCGAATTCGTCGGCAAATTTCGCCAAGGAATTGATCTCCGCGATGATACATTTACTTTAGAGGACCCTGGAATCGCCGAGTATGGAGAATGATTCATCGTCGAAGTAGGAGGGTGAGGGTGGGTAGTAATTTGGGATTAGGCTTTATTAGTAAAATTTAAGAATTTTATTTTATTTTATTTTAAATATTACACATCATAATTAAAAATTAATAAAAAAAACATATTATCACTATATACAAATAAAATAAGCCACATCATCCAGCTGTTAAAAAGAAAACAATTAAGTGATAAAATAAATCAAATATATAAAGTTCAATGAGTAAATTGAAAAAATTGAAAATATGACAAGCGAAATAAGAGAGATGATAAAGTTCTATGAGTAAGCGTGTAATTTACCCATAAAAATATTATTAAACTTTTCTAATTTTAATCCCCTATGGTTAAAAAAGTTAATAGAAATAATGATTTGATATGATATAAAAATAATTTAAGTTTTTAAACTATATACATTAAGTAAATTTAATCCTAGTTTGCAATAATTTAATAAATCTTTAATATTTATTAATTTTTTTATTAAAATAATTTAAATATATCTTACGTTGTCAATAACAAAGTAAGCCTATGAACAAATACTATATCTAATAATCATCTCAGATTATTCAAAAAAAATTATTGAACCATAAACTATCCAAATACTATGACATTTACTTTTGAACTATAATCCATCTAATAAAGTATTTGGCTTTTAAAAATAGTTATACCTCTGGAGATAACTTCTGGAAACTACTAGTCCTTCGTCAAACAAGACCTCTCGAAAAGATACCTTCATTTATTAAAATCTTCAAGGAACTATGGCCTCCTACCATAGGAGTATCGTAATCTTCAAGCTAGCTACGGTGCATTGATAAGAATTTTGACAGACTCACATGATCTACTAGAGCGAATCTAAAATCTGACGACTATATCTATTTATCATGTTGACTTACAAGCAATCAAAATGACCCTCTGTCAAGGCTCCATCATATAGAGTTATTATAAATCTCTCTCAACTACAACAAAGAGGGGATCCCTTGACTACCTTATTCACTCTTATATCCCCACAAAAAATATCGATCAACAAATATTTTTTCATCGGACTCAACTCTCTATCCAGTCTATAAAAAATTGAACTGTCGATTATGTTCCATCAATAAAAAAAAGTTAAATATACTATATAAAAATTATTAATTATTTTTTGAAATATTTATGAAAAAAGTTAAAAAAAAATTACATAATGTCAAAAAGCATAACGAGCTATTTTATGAAAAAATAGTTTTAAAAAATAATTTTTATAAATAAAAATTAAGAAATAAAATTAATCAGATTAAATAATGATAAACGTTTAAAATTTAGAAGAAAAAAAATATAATTGAATGCACCCTCAACTTTATAAAGGATGATTTAGTGATAAAAAGATGGAAAACTCTACGACGTTCGACGAGTATTGATGATCACCACTAACGATGAACAATATTAATTTAATTTATAAAAATTTAAAATTCTAAAGGGCTCAACGTATAATTATAAATTAGTTTAAAATTTAAATATAAATTATTTAAAATAAAAAAAGTAAACAATAATAATGACCACCTAATTATTGTCTCTTTTTTATTTTGACAACTATTTTTGAAAATTTTATCAATCATATCACTTAACTATTTAAACGCATTGATTAAATCATTTGTCATTAATATTTAACAAAAAAGTTGATGTTACAGTTAAAATATTTTATATTATTATACATTTAGTCCATGTTACTTATATATTATATCAATTTGACCCCAATTTTAATAAATTAAAATAAATTTAACCCTCAAATCAAATGGTGCCAAAGTAGTCTTTATTAATCTTATTCTTTCAATTTGTAGGAAAACAAACAAGAAAGAAAAGAAAAGAAAACTTACAATAAATTGATTTCATTTTTGAGAAATTTAAAAAAATATCAAACGCTTTTATTTAAAAAATACAGCTATATTAAGTAAAATCAAAATTTAAACTCTTAAAAATTAATCCAAAACAATTAGATTTTACTTATAATGCGACGAATTAGGTAAAAGTAAAGTTATAATACTTGGATAGCTGAGTAATAAAAAATAAATATTTTTAAACAAACTGTCTAAAAGTAATTACAAAATAAAATAAAACATCTAATTTAAACTCCTAAAATCATTGAAAGATTTAATTTAAACACATGAATTTATTACACTAAATGTCTTGCGTGTATTAATGTAAAATATATTATTTAAGCAGAAAAAAAGATCATGGAGAAATGTTGACACGTCTTATCATAAAACATTGTCATGTTTATTTTATTTTATTATTAGAAATAGTAGTAATCATTAAAGAGAAAAAGAAAAATTGTATTGGCTAGCATTAAATTGGATTCCTCTTCAATTAACTACTTTGACATATTTAAGGGTTAAATTTAATTTAATTTATTAAAATTAGGACCAGATTGATAGAATATATAAGTAATCGTGATTAAATGTGTAATTATACCAAATATATTTTAACTGTCACATCAACTTTTTCATTAAATATTAACGACAAGTGATTTTATTGAATGCATTTAAATAGTACTTGAATAACCTGATTGACAAAATTTTAAAAATGATGGTCAAAATAAAAAATGGCAATAATTAGGTAGTTATTGATATAGTTTATATTTTTTATTTTAAATAATTTATCTTTAAATTTTCAACTAATTTATAATTTTACATTGAGTCTTTTTAAATTTTAACGTTTTATAAATTAATTTATCGGTAATCATCATTAATAGTGTTCAACGAGCGTAGAAGAATCATAGAAAAAGATGAAAAATTAGACAAAATAAATTTACTGAAATTGAGAACATATTATTAAAGAAAATAGTAAAGACTTATTTTTACACGACAAAAAGAGAACATTGAAATGGAATGTAAATAACGACGATATACTTCCGTTAGTGAGATGATTAGACACGCGTTCTAATATCATTGGTGAGGCACATATTGGGGCATGGTATAGGGGACAGGAGAATTCTTTTCCATGGTTACAGTTGTTCCTCGTCTTAAAACCCCATCCCTACGAATTTTCAAAAAAAAAAAAACTTGGAGAGATCAAAGCAAATTCCAGAATCTACAGATCCAAACCAAGCAAATTCTCAGATTAATACTCGAGGGATCGAATCAAATTCAAGAATCTTCAGATCAAAATCAAACAAATTCTAAGACTGATTCGTCAAAACACATTGTGAGTTAGTGTTTTTTTCTTGAAAAAAAATACTTTGTATTATAGAAATTATAAAGTAGCTCGTTAAAAAATCTACCTAATCCTAAACGAAAGAAAAAGAGCGCCCCTAAAAATGATAAGATAAATTAAATTAGCACGATAAAAAACATTCTATTTCCCTCCCTCCCATACCACCCAAAACAGACGAACCAATTCACAGAATGGAATAGGAACGAAGCAATACTTGATCACCTCAACCAATGAAAAAAGCCAAAAACCTGAAGACTAGGAAGCAGCCACGCCCTAGTTGCACCAAACGACAGAAATGAAAGGCTAAATAATATCCTCGAACCAAACAAGCAGAAAATCCCACATCCGAAACGGACATTGTGAGTTAGTGTTCTATAGGCTATATTTCTTTCTCCCCCTTTCTTGGTTCTTTGTTTTCTTTGGGGGATTTAATGAGCCAGGGTTTCTATAAGTGGATTTTTATCTTCCGTGATTTGCTCAGATGGCATTGCGTACTGTTGTTTTGATTCGGGATCAGAATATAAATGTTCACTACAATGGTACTATTCCTAAAACTTCCTCTTCTGTTTTTAGGTTGAATTTGGTAACTGAAAGCTCAATCTCCAGGCGCTTCTGTTGAAAGCAAGGAAAATATGGCTACTGCACCAGGAAAGGCGGTATTGGTGGAAGGAAACTACAGAATTCAGTTAACCAGATATTAATCCCGACGTCGAACAAGAACTCTAAAGTCCTTTCTTTCACTGAGAAAGAGACCACTGTCTCAAAAGTCACACGTGGTTCAAGCAAGACGAAGAGTGTCTCCAAAGCCTCAAAGAAAGTGCAAGTTGGTGCCTGGAAGGCTCTCTGCGATATTTCAAACTTGGGTAAGCCAAGCTTGAAGGAGACGTCAAAGAAGAGTCAAACCTCGAAGTTTACCATTTTGGCGGAAATTCCAGTTGAACCCGAAGACATTGCGAAGGAAGGATGTCTGCACAATCATGATGAATGTATCAAATGTCAGGAAAATACTAAAAGCATGAACGAGTTTTTGAAGATACTTGGATTAGAAGGTAAATTAAAATTGCTACATTTTCAGATGTCTATTATGATTTAGTCCTGGTTGAATACTTACATTTTTCATGAATGTTGTTTAGAATTCTCCAATCCGCCTGCATCTGCAAAGGGAACTCACATGCCAAATGAAATGGTTGGTTTTCGTTTCATTTGTTTCCTCCCATTTAGTTGTTTATATGTATAACGAAATGGTCGGTTTTGGCATCGACTAGCTTTGGCATTGGGATTGTCTTAATGAAGACTGGTTTATTACTTGTGTTACAGCCCATGAGTCCTTCACGGTACTCCGAAGATGAAGAGATGACTGAACTGCTGATCAAATATTGGTCTCCGGCGAAGCTTATGATCAAAGATTGGTCTCCACCTAGTCCAGAGCCAATGGATTTGCCAGATACTTACGAGTTGATCTCATCACCATGATGGGTGAGAGCATTGTTTTCTTTGCTTCATGTTTGTTATTTTGGTTGAATCGAGTGCTACATTTTACATTGGGTTAGGGATGACAATAGGTCGAAATTACCTTTGGTTTTTTTTACTTTGGCATTGCTGAAAGTATTGATTTGCACATACGTAACATGTACATAGATGTACGTTTATAAAAAATTGTCTACAATAAAAGAAAACTCTCCATTTAGAGAAAATGAATGAAAATATCTAGGGTGGAACGGTTATCTCTGACCACCATGTCCGTCGCCAAAAGACCATCTCCCTGTCGCATTGCCTTTGTCATTACCCCATATCCCTAAATGTTTAAAACCCCTAAATCCTTAATCCTAAACCTATTCCTAAATTTAATGGGTAAGGGATCAATAATCCCATATATTGTGAGGGAGGGGGACGATCAGGGAAGGTAAGGAAATTTGAGGGGCGAAGGAAATTTTTGGAGGGAGGCCAGGAGGGGAGGGACCCGGGGTGAGAGGGATATTTTTTTAAAAAATATTTTTATTTTTAAAAAAATAAAAATTTCAATGAAAATATAATACTGACACATGTTAGAAAATAGTTGAATTTAACAGTCATTACGGATTAGGCACCTAGGAGCTGACGGAGAATATGTTAGACACATTTTTGGCGAAAAAATCTTTAGGTGCCTAGAGTTAACCTATAAATAGTTTAGACACTTATATTTTTTTTCCTCTAATTTTACAAAAATAAGAGTATATCATAGGTTCTTAAAAACTCTAAAAGAAAAAAAAGGCCCTATAATCTTTTCAATGACAAAAGAATTATTGTTATTCATTAAGATCTCGGATCCGAACACTAGAAATAAAGGAGTGTGACCATTAAATGTTAAATGATTAAGAGTTATCTTTGAACAAATATTATATTGTACTTACTCCAAATTAATAAAAAAAAAAATTTAAAATCCTATCTACACTCCAATCTGTATTTTGGGCTTGAAATAAATTATATCCAAAATGAGTTTAAGCCAAAATTAGAACCTTTGTTTTCATGTTTTTTCATGTTTTTTCATTTTTATTTTTTTTGTATTTTTTTATATTTTATAATATTTATAAAACTAAGTAAATGATAAGTACATATTTGTAGATAAAAAATTTATATGTATAAGAAGTCAAGTGAACCAAAATTAATAAAAATAGGGAATGATCCAAAATATAATCCATAACAACCAAATAGTCCAAATACTAATAAAAAAATGAACAAATAAAAAATGATTCAAGTTCAATTACTTTATGTCTAAATCAATTTAAATTTCAAACGAAAAAAATTGAAGATAACAATTATTTTGTTTCTTTAACTAATTTCGTCTAAACAATTATAAACGTGAATTGAGATATATTATGAACTCTTTTAAGTTTAACGCAATCAAAGCTCGATCAAATTTCTAACGAGCCAAAGTGAATTTTTTAATACCTGATTCGAAAACTCGCAAGTAATTTACAAAAATAAGGTAAATTACAGAGTTGGTCATATTTGTTTAAGTTTTATAAACGTATGATCACTCGATTCAAAAAATATAATATATGATCATTTTTGTTTTGTTTTAGTTAAGATGTGGTCATTGAAACGTTAGTTGACGTAAGTTGGATGATGTGACACGTTAATAAAAAAGTTTAATTTTTATTTAAACCCTTAAACTTTAGATAAATTACTAATCATGGGTCTTTTTGTAAACACAAAATAATTCAAGGATAAAATATCAATTTACCTTTTTTAAATAGATCGGGTTGCATGCAAAGCCTTCTTTGAGAGGGAATACTTGGGTAGTTGATGCTTCTCATGGCCAGGGGTGTTCTTCTCTGTTCACCTTCATCAATCACAAGGTTTTGCTTTGGACTCCTTTATTATTTCACGGATTCTTAGCTTTTCTTCTCTCGAATTCAATACCCATATCTCAAATCCCCCCCCCCCCGGCCGCCCCGGGGCACCCCCACAAATATGGGGATTGCTTCTGATTGCACTTGAAAATTCAGTATTTTAGATTACTCATGGGATTTCTTTGCCGGTTTAACTTATTGATGTTCCCTGATATATAAGATTCAAAGTTGATAGGGTTGGGAAAGAAATATATGAAAAAAAAAGGGGTAAATTGATATTTTACCCCTAATTGATATTTTACCCATAAATTATTTTGGGTTTACAAAAAGAATTATGATTAGTAATTTATCTAAAACTTAAGGTTCAAATAAATATTAAATCTTTTTACTAACATGCCATTTTATCCAAATCACGACGGCTAAAGTCACAATGACAACTTTTTAATTAAAACAAAACGAAAATGATTATATATATATTATGTTTTTTGAATCGAGTGACCATACGTTTATAAAACTAAAACAAAAGTGATCAACCCTATAGTTTAGCCAAAAAATAATATATTAAATCTAAATTTTTAAAATTAAATTATTAATAATATGTACATAAATTTTTTATGTGCTTAATATTTATGTTAAAGCTCAAGTTTGAGCTTGAACCAAATTTAAATTCTAGTTTCAACGAGTTAAGTCTTAAAATATTTAGAGATTAAAATTTAATCAAATTTGAGTCGAACTTCCATTATTATTTCAACCTCGAGACGAAAAATTTTAAATTACCAATTCTTGAGTCAAATCGAGTTGAGCTTCTAACTTTTTAAGTCGAGTCGAACTTAATTATACTCAAACTCAACTCTTTTTCAACCCTAATTGAGATGAGTATGTTATGTTTCTTTTTTTTTTACCTTATTTCATGTATTGGGATCAGATTTCGGTACTCGGCATAACTGAATATAACTCAGATACTTTAAAGGAAAACAAAGAGCCAAGACCACATAAATTTATAGAACATGTGAGATATCTTCAGCTTCCAACCAATTCAGTAAGGAAAAGGAAAACATATCTAACAAATGATAAAGAAAATAGGAAACCAAAGTCAAATAGTGTATGAAATTGCTCTACTAACATCCATTGAAAAACTGACAACCAAATCCATAATCAAAGCAGAAAAATGGCACAAAACACGATAAACCCAAAATCAAATCTAGCTTTCATCAACTACGAATCGGATGATAAACTCAAAGCACCTCTATTTTCACAGGTCTTGGACACTCAAACCTGTAAATACAAGACAAACAAGGAATACATTAACAATTGTTCTTTTTTCTGCTAACATTTCATTTGTTCATTACAGCAGCTGGTTCGACCTAAAAAATGAAATAAGAAGCTCCTAAAACTGTATTATTTTACCTGGAGGAAGAGACTGCTTCAACTTATCAGCCTTCTCGGCATCGGACACACAAAGTGTGTACAAATACTTGGAGCATCGAACTTTGAACTTGACGACATCTCTGCTCTTCTTGATTTTTACCGAGCGAGCATCTTTCCTTCTGGCAGTGAGAAGGAAATCCTTGATCTCATGAATTTGCTTAGGCTGCACATGTAAAAAAGCCATTTGACACAAGCACATACAATAAACCAAAAATATTCATTTACCACAGAAGCATATAGAATTCATAAACACAAGTTGAAGAGTTTATAGAACAAGAAACCCGTAAGGAGAAAAATTAAAGACCAAAACAATAAAACTTTCAATGGCAGCCAAGAATTTGATGTCAAATTTCTTACAAATTCATCATCCTACATATTTAGAACATCAAAATAACATAAACTCTTATTACAAAGAAAAATAATTCTTGTGTTAACGTGCAAAGGTACATCAAAGCACTCAAATTAAAAATCTGAGCTAAATAGTGACCGTAAGCTTTGAGAATGAACAAATTTGCAAAATAATTCATCCAAAATCATAGCAATAATGCAAATCAAGAAAACCCATCAGTTGAAAGTGAAAGTAATCACAGTTCTGCAATCTACAGAAAAAGTAAACCCAAAACAAAACCTAATTTGTCTCTATAAACACAAATTCAGAAGAAATGTTGAAAAATCTAATAAAAGGAAGCCAAAATCAGAACAATTTGAAAACAAGAACAAAGATCTGAAGCACGAATCATCATCAGCAAATACAAACGTGAGATTTCAAGCATCCAAACAAGAGTGTATTCAGACATCTAAAGACATAATTTAAGAAAAAAAAATGGGTTTTACCATTTTCGATTGAAGTTTGTAGAGAGCTTCTCAACTCTTAAAATCACAAACCCTAATTTTTCCTATATTCGATTATTATATAGGCCCACAACATAAACCCTAGAATATTTCCCTTTGCGTTATTAGAAGCGATTATTGGGCCAAAAATGGAAGAATAGTGGAAGTTTAGAGAGAGAGAAGAAAACCGGGTTCAAACAGAGGCCTAGACCAAACTGGACCGGTTTCCTGAAAAGAAAATTAAAGTTCAAATCCGTTGTGAGTTTTTTTTGGTAAACTATATTAGTGACCATTTGAATTCTTGATAATCAGGTCATCTAACTATTTAAATACATTTAATCAAATCACTTACTGTTAACAGTTAACAAAAGTGATGACGTGATAGTTAGTAAAATTGATAAAATTATACATTTAGTCAATTATTACGTATATATTCTATCAATTTGGTCTTAATTTTAACAAATTAAATAAATTTAATCTTTGAATCAGTTCGAGCCACATGTTACCATTCGATTGGAGAATTTATTTTATTTTAATAATTTTATTTCGCACCAGAAAGAAAATTAAAGAAGTTAAAATGGGGAGCAAAGGAATCAAACTTGGGTCTTTTGGGTGGGAAAACAACATTTTAACCATTAAACCAAGTAAACCCTTTCAACTAAAATGCACTACCAATACTATATATACTGAATACTAGTTTAACCATACATTTTTATTATTTTATATATATTAAATTAAATTCACATATGAATTAAATTAACATTTAAACATTAAAAATATATATTTTAATTTTATCTTAACTTTAAATTATTTAATCTATTTTATAAGATATATTTTTTTAATGAGAATTTAAAACGAATAAAATAATAACTGCCACCAATCATTTTCGAGGTGAGATTAGACAATCTAAAATCATATTATTTTAATAAAAGTTTAAATTTTATTAAAATAATATAATTTTGGGTCCTCAAAATTAGAAAATGGACCAGAGAATCGATTATGTGTGGAAATGATTAGCACCCACAATGTCCAAAATTAATACCTAGTCGATCTTTCAAAAAAAAAGATACCTAGTCGATCATCCATTGTTTTAATTTAATAATTTATGAGTTTGAATTTTATTTAAGTTAGGATCGGTTACGTATGCAATTTTATTTTATTTTAGAAGGATATTGATTTATTTGGAGGGATGTGTCATCCTTTGGAGCAGCCTCTGCATCAGGTCTCAGAGAAGAGCCTATGTTAACTTCATCCAAGACATATGGCCTCACGCACTCCTAGAACTCATCCGAACCTTCTCTAGAAGGGTTATAGGGGTCGAAAGATAACTTCTTCTGGGAGATATCCTAACAACACCAGTTCCACTTCGATATATCTTTCGAGCTAAGAGCTGCTTGAAATGCACAAGCTAAGTTGTGTTCACACTTGTCTCCACAGTTTTTGAAGCACTGAAGCTAAGTTGTTTCAAATCACGGTCGCAATCGCATTTTCGTTCATTTCGGGGTTATCGTGATTGTGGCCTCTTGGTGTTCTTGGCCAAGCAGTATGGAATTTAGTCATGCTTCTAACAGTTAAAAAAAACAAAACAAGAGGTTGAAACAATGGAGCAATATCCATCAGAATAAAACAATGGTAAGATTCGGGAACAAATTCACTAGTGATCGCACAAGAGGGATTATTGAGAGCCAGGACGAGGTTGCGACAAAACGGTCCAAGATTGAAGTAGAATCAGAACTCCCTTTGTACCAAGTGAACCAACCACGAGACGGATAGATATCTCAAAGTCTAGTGGGATACAAAACATCCTTAAATGCGATCATGTCTACCCTTGATCTACGACGGTCACCTGCCTTTTTCGTTTCTAGAAGAATCTTATTGAAGTCCCCTCCGATTAACTAACAAAGAGTAGAAGAAGAACTAAGTTGGTCAAGCATCGATTAAGTTTCAGCATGTCGGTGACGATTACTATGTCCATGAAGGTCAGTGAAATGGTAAGAATATGCCCCATGTGTACAACTGTGTGATATGATGGTCCGAGAAGGATAAGAGTCTATGACATTAGGCTTCTAAAATAATATTATCCTAGAGCAAGTATAACTACTTTCTACAAATAAAACTCCCTCCATGTGTAAGAGATACTTGATTGACTCCACCCTAGAACAGTGAAACTGAGATAAACAGAGGAAGATGATATCCGGGTCCTTACGAGTAAACAAATGTTCCAATGTCTGAAGTTATGAGGGCTCACAAGCCCCCGACAGTTCTAGTATAAGGTTTTTATAATGACCGGCAGGGATGATCTTCAACCATTGTCGAAACAGTGATCAATTTAGAAGAATCCTAAAAACATAAGTAGATCTAAGACCATCCGATGTTGAAACCCGAGATCGCTTCCCCACTGACACCTGAGAACATTATCAACCAATTTATAACGCTTATAGGAACGTATTATCTTCGACCTTTGAGATTGAGGGATAGATAGAGAAGGAACTGAGTGTGCTTTAGCCACCAAATCAGTGATAGGGGTGGAAACAAGTTCCATAGTAGATTATAGAGCTCTTGTAGACATAGCAGAAACAGGTTGGGGATGATATTGGAGCACGGACCCTAACATAACAACCTGGCAGTTGAACAATACTAGGACATGGTTGAATCAATGAGCCTGACAAAAGGGGTGGATATCCCTCGAAGCCATTCCCCAAACTGATATACACCAGACATGTTTGAAGAAGGTTTATCACATGAAGGCAAACCATGTCCGAGATCACAAAAGAAACATAAGAGAGGCAAACATTCATACTTTAGCATGCATAACTGTGGTCTCTCATTTTCGCGATGATCAAGAGTGACACACTGATGAAGCAGTTGGTGAATATCCAACATGACTCGAATACATAAATAAGAGCCCAATCAGCCGCCCCTAGACGAAGATCAATAGCAACAGGAATTCGTGGGAGCCTAGCAATCAGAGTGCCCATCGCTTGGTTCAACCACCCAAGAGGAGCGTCATAGACAAGTATCCAAATGGACAACAAAGAGAAATATACTCTGCTAGGCTACGATCCGAAACATAGTGAGTTAAGGCGAGGAGGTCACCATCATAGAGCCACGGAGTACGATATAGGATAAAAGTCTTTTCCTCTACGGAAAGTAACTTGAATAAGAAAAAGTGGTTCACCCAAATAAGAAACACCAGCAAGGTGGAAAGAACCCCAAATACTACAGAAGACACGGATAACCCCCACGGAGTCAATAGGAGAGGAAGAGTGCAAACGCCCCATAACCCAAAATTACATTGAAGCATCTGGTGGTGGGGCCGGAATGCCAAAGGTGAGGAGATTGCCTGTTTTTGTATCTGAGAATGTCAGATGTGACAGCAAGTAGTGGACATCGTCAGCCATGAAGAATCGAAGTGCGTAGAGATGAAACAGTACAACTAAGACACAACAAAACCACGAAGACAAGTCTTTGTAAAGGAATTTAGAAGTCCCCAAAAAATAGGGCATGTAATGTGGTTGGGCCCCACAAGCATGGATAGACAATTTAGACAGAAAAAACCACTTCAAAACTGTAGGAAATTAAACCGCCCTGCGCACGTCCCATACATGAACAAGCCAAACAGGGAACCACCCACATAGCGGTTGAGCGATTATCCAAAAACAAATCTCTCGCCTAGAATACCACTAGAAACGGAATGGTCGGAAACACCGGAGAAACCTAGACAAGAATTGCCAAAAATTATGGAGACCCCGAACAAAATCCCCAACCAAGTAACACACAGCGCCAATACGAGGACGATAGTGCGCGTGAGATACAAGATCAAGATAACAAAGCAAATAACCCGAAGACACAGAAACCCATAAAAATACCTTGTAACCCATAAAAATTATGGCAGACCAAACAAGCTAGAAGATAGCCATAAAAATCCGCCTGAAAGGAATGACTTAGAGGACGGAGTAAGACACCGTAGAGGAAAACCATCTTCTTAGTTGTATCCCTTGAAAATTAAATTTAAAAATAATTATGACTTTATTTTGAATTTTGAGATTTTTGATAAATTTGAAATTTAATTTGAATTGGAGTAATATCAACCTTTGTGTTATATAGTTGAATAATTAAAGATGTCTTTTAAAATAATTTTAAGGAAAATTATTTTAAGGACAAAATTTGGTATGCGTTTACCAAAGATTCATTTTTAAAGATTCAAGAGTCGATTACGCGTGGGGAAGGATAAACACCCAGAGCTCAAAATTGATAACATCGATTATATATTGTCTAAAATGGTCAAATTATACAAATTTGAATTCAAAATTTAAATTAAGATCCTTTTAGTTCTATGAATTTAAAAATGTGTGAATCTAATTTTTTTTTAAATAATTGGCTCGATGAAAATGATTTAATTCACTCGATTTTATTTGAAAATGATGTTCCCTTACTATGTAAATTAACAAAAATTGAATTCCAGTCATGTTAGATGTAATTTCGTTAACCCACGACACAAGACAACATTGTCTTTAATTATTTTAGAAAATGAGAAAACAAATGCATGACTTATGAATGCAACAATAATAAATGATATATACAAAAATGAATGAAATATCAAATATAATATCACAAATAAAATAAATGAATGAATAAAATGATACACGAAATAATTACAATTATTAATCTAGAAAGTGACGGTATATCTTTCACTCATGCGCCTTATGGAATCGTACTCTAGATATTTAGAGGGTTTCTAATTGATTGCTCGTCATTCGAGATATCCCAAAATAGATATAATTTAATTTTTATTAAAATAGCTCTGTTATAGAAGTATTAGTGTTAAAAAATGAAAAAAATATACATATGCATATATAAGAGTCAAAATAAATTAGGCAAATACATATATATTAAAAAATAGAATGATGAAAAGAAGTACATGGACTAAATATAAACCACTTCAAACATAGAACTCTAAATCGTAACATTAATAGTATCATGGACAAAAATTAAATAAACAATAACAACAGTAACCAAATATGTAATTATATACGTAAACTAAAGACTCAATCAAGCGAAACTAAAGTAACAAGTATCAAATATGTAAATAATCCATAAAAATTAAGGCAT